GGCCGGGGCCCCCCCGGAGCAGCCACAGGAGCCCGAGGGCTGCCAGGAGCCGGGTGACAGCGGGGACGAGGCCGAGCCCCCTGGGGACCCCGACGTCGCAGAGCTGGGGGTCACCTACAAGCAGGTGAGACTTCGGGGGGGCCCAGACCCCCCCCCGGCTCCCTCCATCCCCCCAAACTCCATCACGAGCACCCCGTGCACCCCTTTGTGCGAGCACCCCGTGCCCCCCGCTCTGCTCCCAGCCCTGTCGTGTGTCCCCTCCCCCCGTTTTTGGGGACCCAGCCGCCCTGCGCTGCCGCAGCGATGACTCGGAAGGGTCGGTGACTCATCCCCCCTCCGTCCCCCTGTCCCCGCCGCCCCCGTGTGTGACCCCCCCACGTCCCCAGCCGTGACTCATCCCCGCCCCCTCCCCAGGTGTACCCCGAGGCGCCGCTGCAGCTCTTCCCCGCGCCCCCCCTGGGGGTCCTGGCTCTGCCCCACCCCGCCCTCGCCCGCACCCAATCGTCCCCCGCCAGCGTCAAACCCGCCCAGCCCGAGGGGCCCCCCAAACACCTCTTCACCACAGGTACGGCCCCGGGGGCACCGGGGGGTCGGGGGTCCCTGTGCCGCGGGGTTCTGCGTCCCTCGGGGTGATGGGGGGGGGTCCCGTCCCACGGCGGATGCCAGGGGGGCTGTGCCCCCTCCCCGAGGGTCCCATTCCGTGGTGGGGTTGTGGATGTTCCTCTCCCGTGGGATTCCCTGGGGTTCCCAAATCCTGGGGTGCTCGGGGGGCCCCTGCTCCACAGGTTCTCCCTGTCCCCTGGGGTTCCCAGCACCCGGGGGTGCCCGGGGGTCCCCATATCCCGTGGGATCCCCCTTCCCCCTGGGGCTGCCCCTCCCTGGGGGTGTCCCCCGGGTGCCAGCTGTGCCAGCTGTGCTGTGCCCAGGCGTGGTGTACGACACGTTCATGCTGAAGCACCAGTGCACCTGCGGGAACACCACCATCCACCCCGAGCACGCCGGCCGCATCCAGAGCATCTGGTCCCGGCTGCAGGAGACGGGGCTGCTCGGCAAGTGCGAGGTGAGGGGGCTCCCCGCGGCCCGGGGGGGCGGGAGGGCGCCGGGAGCCCGGGGGGCTCAGCCTGTGCCCCTTCCCAGCGGATCCGGGGCAGGAAGGCGACGCTGGAGGAGATCCAGACGGTGCACTCGGAGCACCACGCGCTGCTCTACGGCACCAGCCCCCTGAACCGCCAGAAACTGGACAGCAAAAAGCTGCTGGGTGGGTGCCGGGGGTCCCCAAAGCCTGGGACCCCCCTCTTTGGAGCTGGGGTCACCTTGCTGCCCTGTTCCTCGTGATCCCTCTGTTCCCTGCGGGTCCACGTCCCCTGGGGTGTCCGGGAGAGTCCGTGGCCCACGGGGGGTCCCAATCCGTGGGGTGTTCAGGGGTCCCACGGGTGTCTCTGTCCCCTGGGGTTCCTCCTGTCCCGTGGGCTCCTCGTCCCCTGGGGTTCTCAGTCCCTTGGGGTGCCCGAGGGTGCCATGGGATCCCCCTGTCCCCTGGGGTTCCCTTGGGGTGCTCGGAGGTCCCCTTGTCCCACAGGACCCCTGTGTCCCCTTTTCCCCGTCACCCCTTGACCCCGCAGGTCCCATCACTCCGAAGACGTACGCGGTGCTGCCGTGCGGGGGCATCGGGGTGAGTGTGGGGCACGGGCCGGGGGTGTCCCCGGGGTGGCCGTGCCCCGCTGAGCCCCGGTGTCCCCGCAGGTGGACAGTGACACGGTGTGGAACGAGCTGCACTCGTCCAGCGCGGTGCGCACGGCCGTGGGCTGCCTGCTCGAGCTGGCCTTCAAGGTGGCCGCGGGGGAGGTCAAGGTGAGCGCGTGTCCCTGTCACCCTGTGTCACCCTGTCACCCTGCGCGTGTCCCTGTCACCCTGCGCATGTCCCTCTCTGCCCCGCGCCTGTCCGCCTGTCCCGGCTGTGTCCCAGTGCCACACGTGTCCTTCTCTGTCCCCCAGAATGGCTTCGCCGTCATCCGCCCCCCAGGCCACCACGCCGAGGAGTCCACGGCCATGTGAGTGCAGGGACAGGGTCGGGACCCCCGCGCAGGGCCACCCCCTCCACCCATGTCCCGTGTCCCTTGTCCCCAGGGGCTTCTGCTTCTTCAACTCGGTGGCCATCTCGGCCAAGCTGCTGCAGCAGCGGCTCAGCGTGGGCAGGATCCTCATCGTGGACTGGGTAAGGTGGGACAGGGGGGACCCCACAGGCCTCGGGGACCCCGTGGGTGCGCGTGGGGGGGTCCCTGACGCCCAGGCGTCCCCCCAGGACATCCACCACGGGAACGGGACCCAGCAGGCCTTTTACAGCGACCCCCACGTGCTCTACATCTCCCTGCACCGCTACGACGACGGCAACTTCTTCCCGGGCAGCGGCGCCCCCGAGGAGGTACCGGGGGAATTTGGGGGTTGGGGGCTCCCCCGTGCCCCCCCCGGCCCTGGCTGTGGCACGGGGGGGTCACCTGTGGCTGTGCCCAGGTGGGCAGCGGGCTGGGCGTGGGCTACAACATCAACATCGCCTGGACCGGTGGCGTGGACCCCCCGATCGGGGACGTGGAGTACCTGACAGCCTTCAGGTGGGGGGCTGCACCTGCGGGGGGCTCTGTCCTTTGGGAGGGGTCTCTGTGTCCTGGGGGAGGGGTCTCTGTGCAGCCGGGGGGGTCCCCTGGATCCTGGGGGGGTCCCTGCACACCTCGGGGGGTGTTCCTGCTCCCCCAGCCCTGGGGTGTCCCTGTACTCTGGGGGGGATCCCCACGTCCTGGGGGGTGTCCCTGCCCTCTTGGGGGGCTCCCCAGCCCTGGGGGGCTGCCCCAGCCCTGGGGGGGTCCCGAGCCGCCGCTGCCCCCAGGACCGTGGTGATGCCCATCGCCAACGAGTTCTCCCCGGACCTGGTGCTGGTCTCTGCCGGCTTCGACGCCGTCGAGGGCCACCTGTCCCCGCTGGGTGGCTACTCCGTCACCGCCAAGTGTGAGTGGGGTCCGGGGGTGTCTCGGGGCGGGGACCCCGGCCCGGCCGCCCCTCACCCCCCCTCGGTGCCCCCCAGGTTTCGGGCACCTGACGAAGCAGCTGATGATGCTGGCGGGGGGCCGGGTGGTGCTGGCGCTGGAGGGGGGACACGACCTGACAGCGATCTGCGACGCGTCCGAGGCGTGTGTCACCGCCCTGCTCGGCCTCGAGGTACGGGGGACACCCCCGAACCCCCCCAGCCCTGCCCCAGGGGCGTTCCGGGGCGCACACCCCGTGCCGTGCCTCAGTTCCCCCTCCTTGCTCGGTGGGGGGCTCACGGCGTGTCCCCGCTGTCCCTTTGGGGGTGCCGGTGTCAGTTTTGGGGGGCTCACGGCGTGTCCCCCCCAGCTGGAGCCGCTGGACCCGGCCCTGCTGCAGCAGAAGCCCAACGTGAACGCGGTGGCCACGCTGGAGAAAGTCATCGAGATCCAGAGTGAGAGCGGGGGGCTCGGGAGGGGTCCCGGGGGGCTCGGGAGGGGTCCCGGGGGTCTCGGGGGGTCCGTGCCAGCCGTGTCCGTCCCGCAGGCCGGCACTGGGGCTCCGTCCGGCGCTTCGCCGCCGCCGTGGGCCGGTCCCTGCTGGAGGCGCAGCGAGGGGACAGCGAGGAGGCAGAGACGGTGACAGCGATGGCCCTGCTGTCCGTGGGGGCCGAGCACGGGGGGCCAGACCCCCGGGGAAGGTACGGAACGGGGGACACGGGGGGGAGA